AATGTGGGTCAAATTTAATTGTTTAGTCATGATTTCGGGTCAATGAAATTGACGGGCCAACTAAGACGCATTAAATTCTTTTGCATTTAAAGATATGACGTTTGTTGTAAGCGCATTTGTTTAAACAGTAATCAATAAAAAATAAAAAAAATGTTGGTTTTATTTATATAATATTATAAAATATTTGATAAAAATTCTTAAAAATTATTTTTTATACATAAAGTACTACTTATTGATACATATTACTTAAAATTCAAGAATACAAGTAAATTGTACATAAGTACAACTTATAAAATCTCCATATTTAAATTTTTGTAATTAACTGCAGATAAATATAATCAAATACAAGATAATCTTCTAATTTTAAATATAAAAAATCTAAAATATAATTATGATAGTCATTGAGTTCTAACAGAATACGTAATTATTATATTTACAAAAAATTATATTATTAAATCAAAAAAAAAAATTACTTCGTTATTAAACCTAAATTGAATTAAGAAAATTACACACAAAAAAACTAGAACTTTTATATATTTTAAAAAAAATTATGATATCTTTAAATTTATATTTTCTATACTATATTATAAAACATTTGATAAAAACTCTTAAAAATCATTTTTTATGCATGAAGTATTGTTTATTAATGCATATTACTTAAAATTCAAGATTACAAGTAAATTGTGCATAAGTACAACTTATTAAAGCTTTATATTTGAATTCGTGTAATTAACTGCAGATAAATATAATCAAATAGATAATGAAATCTCATTTTAAAATATAAAAAGATCTAAAATATAATTAGGATAATGATTGAGTTATAACAAAATACTTAATTATTATCTTTATAAAAAATTATATTATTAAACCAAAAATTAAAAAATGAATTAAAGAAACATACAAAAAAATAGAAATTTTAAATAGTTAGTTTGGTATTAATGTAAACATATTTTTTAATTTTTTATGATATATCTTCACATTTATATATTATTCAAAAATAAACCATTATCGTTTTTTCAAAACCACATAAACCGTATTATAATATCGACTGAGATAAAAAATAAAAAAATATATTAAAATTGATTTGTATCTCGCTGCATTGTGCGAGTACCCTTCTAGTATATTATAATGTATCTATTTTTTCAGAAGCCTAAATTTTTATTTGAGGTTAAACTCTAAATCATAAAAATTCTTTCTCAATTTATTTTCATTTTCATTTCACTAATCTAAACCAACAATCCCTAAAATACGAGACGAGCTTCATGTAAGTAAGCAGGCCTTCAAAAAGCCTTGTTATAGCAAGCAATAAAATGGTCAAACCAACAAAAGCCCAAACAAACTGGATTTGTTTTATGGACCGTTTATCAAACACTTACCGAATCTATACTATATTATAATGTATTTGGCTAAAACTCTTAAAAACTCTTAAACTCTTAAACATGTTCATCTCTATCCGATTTCATCCCATAACTGAATTCGTGTAACTAACTGCAGATAAACACAATCAAATACAGGATAAACATCTTATTTTAAATA